TAAGGTCCGAAGGAGACGGTGTCCTAGATTTAATTTGCCTAGTAAGTTTTTTTTCCTTTGTTTCTTTGACAAGTAAGCAACTTCTGGTGTGTCAGTAATTTGCTCAGCCTGAACCACCGTAGCTGGTTCATTCTGCTCCACAGTAAGATTCATAGTCTGAGTTTCTAAATGTGCTGATGAGGGTTTAATAATTGAAATAGTTTGAACAATCTGATATGAGTTTACCCATGTTAAGTCAGTCTGACACGTGAAAGGTGAAGTTGCGACAGGTCGACTGACCACAGCAGAGTAAGAGCTTTTGTCTGGTTGAGATAGAATTTCTTTGCTTCTGAAAATGGAATGTTATTTTAGTACTTTATTTTATTTTTTCTGATTGGCGTTGCCATTCAGGACAAAACTTTGATGAGGCAACATGACTGCCACTACAGTTAGCACATTTGATGTCATTTTGACATTTTTACCGCATCGATGACACACCGCAGAGCTGCGACACGATTTAGAACCGTGGCCAAACTGTTGACTTGTATAACACCTGAGTGGAGAGGGGACATGCACCTCCACCCTGATGTTAAAATACCCAGCCTTAATAGACCGTGGAATTGATTTTCAGGGAAACATTAGCAAGTAAGTACTTGTTTGGCTGATAACACCTTCAACATTTTTGGTGAAACGCTTAACAGCTGTTACACCCTGATCAGTTCAGCTTGAATCCCTTGTTCAGACATATCAGAAAGGCAACGCGCTCAGTCTCGATCAATGCCCTAATATGAGTTTAGAGACCTGTGAGCGGACACAACAACCTCAACATTTGCAAACTGTGTTACTGACAAAAGATTTAGAGATTGTTGTCTCCGGTCACACTCCACAAGAAAAGAGCCAGTCCGAAGACGAGTAACATTTCTCACCTCTCTACAAATCCCTGACACAGTTTTCGATACAGCAAAAGGATTTAATTTAATTGGTTCATGATCAGAAACCTCATTCACCAAGAACCGAGACCAGGAATCTATATTTTGTGATTTTTTGTTCGCGTTTTTATTTGAACTGTACGTTCAAGACGTCTCTTTTTTTCGTTTCAAGTTGAACCAGTGTGTGTGAGTGACATGGTGAAATATATAGGTTCAACACCCCTGGTCCTCATCCCCCATCGAATGTCAACAAGGACAGTGTTACATTGCGACGGATATCCAAGATGCAAACACCAAGGATTCCAGGGTGTTATACTCAAGCAAATATGACACATATAGCAATATTTGTGTACCGAATTAAAGCCAGGCTGGTTCGGCCCATGACAGGTAATCGGATACATACTGAATTTGGAGGTCAACATTACCAGATTGGCCCATGAACCACCGCCTTCTGGCATAAGACTCTAGGCAAACTTTTACGTAATAAATTGGGAAGTCAAACATGTAATACATGACCAAGACCAAATAATACATTTATATGAATCCCATTTGTGCAAACACAATATTATGCACAGGGCTTGGCATGACCAGCCGGGCCCGGCTTCCCACCCGTCTAGGTGAAGTCGGGGTCAAAGTGGTGTATTGGGCAAAAGGAACACTGGTCCCTGGCTCCAGTGCCCTCAACCACCAGAATCCCTTCCTCCACCGACACAGGGACGCAACCCACGGCAAACAGGTTGCCCAATTTGGTCGCCTTTTACGACCAGCAATGGGGTGCTGTGGACACATTCTACCCCGGTTCCACACGTGGGAAGAGCTATTAGCGTTACCCAGCACTCACCACGAGGAGGTTGCTCTTCACGAGTGCCTCATATGAACTAAGGTATTAACAACACTAATCTCATCTGTCACTTATATCCCGATATAGGATTATCGTCAAGTTCTAAAAATACACGAACGACATTGATGATAAAGGGAAAAAACATCAATTATGCTCAGGTACGTTTAATGATGGTACATAACTAATATCATGGATCAAGGATACTGATGTTACCTGTGAATAGCATTATTGACTACTGTATAATATAGGCCAACTCGAAGTTTAGAAACTGTATATCGTGTTTCGAAGCCGGATGTCTTTTAGACTCATAACGTTCTTTATGAAAAAGGAGGTATATTTCTTCAGGTCTTCATGAATAGTGTTTTCATAAACGCTAAACACTAACATAAACGATGCAGTTGATCTTTTTGTAAATCTACTACTTGAGTCAGGGCAGTGTATGAAAAAACCAGTTCTTGGAAATAAACCACGTAAATATATTTTCAATTTAAACAGCGAGTGTAGAGAACATAGGAGATCAGCAAGACGAGCGCTAAGAAAGTTCCGTAAAAATAGATTTGAATCTAATAGGAAAACTTATTGTCAGTTACGCAACAAATATAAAACAAAATGTAAAAGCTATTTAAAATCCCTTAAACTTACCAAATTAAATCGTCTAAATGCCTCATTATCAAACCCAAAACGGTTCTGGAGAGAAATTAATTCTCTACGCAGTCCATCATCTGTTCAGAATAATATCACAGGCACACAGAGTGGCTGACTCATTTTAAGCATGTGTTTGGCAATGATCTTATATTCCAGGATGTTATTGAAAATGAGCATGACGATATTGCTGTTTATAACCCATCAGATGTTGAGTTTGACATTCTTGAGTCCGAAATAACAAGAAAGGAAATTCTCGATGCTATTGACTCACTTAAACCTGGAAAATCTCCAGGCCCTGACAATATCTTAGCGGATATGCTGAAGAGTTCCAAACACATAACTGTTCCATTTTTGCATTCTCTCTTTAACGACATATTCAACAAAGGTATATTTCCGTCAATTTGGTCAAAATCTATCATTGTTCCTCTATTTAAGAAGGGTGATACAAGCGATCCTGATAATTGTAGAGCAATTTCATTGACAAGTATTTTAGGTAAAGTTTTTGCTATAGTTTTAAACAAGCGTTTAACGCTCTGGTCTAATGTTTATGATAAAATTCCAGAAAATCAGGCAGGCTTCAGACGATCATATTCACCTGTCGACCATATTTTTACACTTTATTCTATTGTACAAAAATATCTTGGATGCCGGAAACGAAAACTGTATGTTGCATTTGTGGACTTCAAAAAAGCTTGTGATAGCGTTAATCGTAAACTTTGGGATTGTTTGAGAAAAACGGGCGTTGGGGGTAAAATGTATAAAATGTTAAAATCTATATATGCAAATGTCAAATCATGTGTTCGTCACAAAAATGGTGTCACTGATTACTTTGATTGCCCTATCGGTGTGAAACAAGGCTGCATTTTAAGCCCTCTCCTTTTCTCTTTCTTTATCAACGAATTGTCCCTTGAAATCCAACAAAACGGAAAACACGGTGTCCAACTTTATCCAGATATGTATGAATTGCTAATATTACTTTTCGCAGACGATGTCATACTTATTTCTGATACTGTTAATGGGCTTCAAACACAAATAGACATATTGTTTCAGTATACCATCTCCTGGAAACTGACTGTTAATACAGATAAAACGAAAATTGTTGTTTTTAGAAAGGGGGGTCCTCTTGCATCCAGGGAAAAATGGTATATAAATGGGCAACAAATTAATGTTGAAAAAACTTATAAATACCTTGGTGTCATTTTTCCTTTTAATCTGAAACTAAATCACCTCGTCAACGATCTTGCGCTACGAGCTAAGAGAGCCCTCATTACCTTATTTGTTGTTCTTGATAAACTCGGTGTGTCTTCCCCGTCTGTTTTCTTCAAACTTTTTGATTCTCAAGTTAAACCAATTCTGTTATATGGTTCAGAGATTTGGGGTCTCGAAAAATATCACATCTTGGAAAAAATTCACTTAACTGCTTGTAAACGATTCTTAAATGTTGGCAAATCTACCCCAAATTGTATGGTGTATGGTGAATGTGGAAGACATCCCTTATATATCTGTTCTTATGTACGCGGTCTAAAATATTGGTTAAAGATTATAGAAATGTCACCTGATCGTATTCCACGTAAATACCGCGACAATGTTGGTTATAAAACATGGGTCACTAAAATCAGACAACTTTTTCTTCATGGATTTGGATATGTTTGGATTTACCAAGGTGTTGGAGATAAGACAGCATTTCTTAGTGTATTTAAACAAGTTGCATCTGATATGTTTATCCAAGAAAGGAGAGCTACATTGGAAAATAGTTCAAGATACGACCTTTATAAAACATTTAAGGCCTGCTTATCTCCAGAACAGTACTTAACAGAAATAACAGACAGAAAACTTAGAGTGTGTTTTACACGTTTTTAGATTAGGTTTGAGCAATTTAGTATGTAATACGGGTCGTTTTTCCTCAGTTTAAAAAAATATGCGTTTTTGTCCTTTTTGCCCCACATTTATTGAAAACGAATACCATTTTATGCTTATCTGTCCATGTTATGAATCGCCCAGAATAAAATATTTCCAAGGTTTACCCCAAAACATCAATACACTAATCAAGCTCCTCCGTTTTGATGAAATATCTAACGAGCAACAAAAGAATACTATCCTATACATTAATTATGGTTTACGACTTCGCAACCGTCTTTGTACAAATGATGTTTAATTATTCTTTAGGTTATTTGCCTTCATTAATCAAATGCTTTTATCTCTTCTTGTTGTGTTGTGTTGCGACTTATTTTTCACAAAACTGTACACGTGCACATCTCTGTGCATATAAGTCTGCATGTTTATACTTCTACATGTACAAAATTGTATATATATAATGTTACTGTATGTATATGGGCCTATGGCCAGAATACAATATAAATGATGATGATGATAAAAATAGGATATATTCAGTATGAGTAATATTTAAAACCCTCAACTTTAAATAAAATTCCTTGACATAAAATCAGCTATGCATTTCTGTCGTCATTAACCATACTACTGTGTCATTATTATACTCATTGGTACATTGGTACAATGTTACTGCAGAACACGAATGTCGGCCATGATTGTGTTTAAGAAGATAAATACATTTATATAATGATAATGGACTATCGAACAATCCAAAGTTTAAAGAAACAATTGTTTTATTGTTGTAAAATATACAGACAACATGTAGTTCATGCATTATGCTGCAACTTGAACCATTATCTTGTTCCAACAATGTGTAGCGAGCAAATGGTCTTGGCTGTGTGTTCCTGTCAGAACTGTCTGCTTCGTGGTGTCGGACGCAAGAGCAACAAGTTGAAACTGGAACCATGAGTTTTACAATTATTGAACGTGCCTGTACAACAATGTTGCCTGTGTTTAGGTTGGACGTAGTTTCACATCACATCATCATCAATGACGGGCTGTGCGAATTGACATATCCTACACTACGAGATCTGACATGGTTGTGGTTTAGGGAAATTAGACAGCAAATCGCTACATGAATCAAATTCTTCAACCTCACCGTCTTCCAATCATTGACTGCCAGAGGGAACTGTTTCAACAGGACAACACTCCACCGCTAACAGCTCGTGTCATGGTAGACTACCTTCATAATACCAACATCAACGATTTGCCCTGGGCGTCGAGATCTCCAGATCTCAACCCAATCGAACAACTCTGGGATGAACTCGATCGATGTGTACGTCAACGTCAGAACACCCCGCATACACTCCCACAACTGGCCAACGCCTTACAAGCAAAATGGCGCAGAATTCCGCAGGACAGAATTCGTACACTTATCAAGTCAGTGCCGAGGAGATGCAGAGCCGTGATTGCTGCCCGGGGCGGTCACACGAGGTACTGAGTTCAGCGCTATCTTGTTAGCCTTATGTGACATAACAATGATCAGTTTTCAATGCCTTTGTTCAACGACTACATGTGATCACCGAGCTCCAAAATTTCATATTTGTATCTATGCTATTAAATTAAATATCTCGAGTTTATTAGGTACAATAAACTTACTAAAATTCTACCTGTGCGTTTCGTTGTTTGAAGAGGGTATGTTGGTTAATCATTTCCTACTACCTGTAGTCAAATAAGCATCAATTGCATTACCTCAATTGCCTCCACCTTAGCAGGGTCGTGAATGTCCATCTTCTGGGCGTCGGACAGTGCCCACAGGTAGCAGTGAGTTTTGGATATCATCACCAACTCGCCCTGCGTCATTCGAGCAGACATGGGTATTACAATATAGTTCCAAAAATGCCATACGTTCTTGAATAAAATATTTCATATTAGTATTAAAAACAGATGACTCGTTTAAGAATGTTTAAACAACGAGTGACATGGCGTTATATATCAGGTTTAACATATTTGTGTCGTCCATTCAGTAGTAGCAACGTGACAGCAACAGTAAAGGCGAACAGCCAATAGTTTATATCACTCAATTACATTCCCATAAATATAAAACGTCAACCTCAGGAAATGTCCAGTCTCGATTATCCGCCGAACAGAACAAACCAGACAATCAAGTACAGAAAATAGTTATGAATTACGTCTGCTGTTTGCAAGTCCAGAAATTCTAAACTCTTAAGTAAAGAAAAACGTTTAAGAAATATGTACGTTGAAACATATGTTAGTTTAATAATTATGTATAATGTGTTAAATCAAACACTTACAGTAGCTTTGTCGTAGGAGAAGGCAAAGTTCCCATGAGGGGGCGGCGTCCCATGGGTGTGAGTCGGGTGGGTGTGGGGCGCGTGAGACGCATGGGTCACGTGAGCATGGTGAGTGTGGGTCTGGGCCTGGAAACATGATGTTGCATAACGGTTGAACAAAGTGAATGGATGCTTTTCTAACCATGTGTACTGGTTTCAATCTGAATAGGACAATATACATATCGATTGTACCTCCTTCATTCTACATGGGCTAAAGTAGTACAGTAAAGTTCCCAGCAACATCACGGCGGGGAACACCTGAAATGGGCTTCAAACATTCTACCCATGTGGGGAATCGAGCCCGGGCCTTCGGCGTGACGGTCGAACGCTTTAACCACTGGGCTACCCACCGCTCAGAGAAGTAAAGAAACTGTCGTAGCGATACGAAACTATGTGTAGCGCCAACCATGCATGGTGGACGAACATCACTTGGCCAGTTCTGCCCTTAACACAGACCCATGAATCACCTTCTTGACCTGTGTACGGATGGACTTTGTTCAGGAAACTCGATTGGGAGGAGCATGTTGGTAAACGCAGAATGTATAGAAGGTATTTACCTGGGCCAGGTACACAACGGACGCAATCAGTACAATCTTCAGCATGGTGAATGTGAGAGGCAGCAGTGTCATGACAAGTCTCACTTGGGAGGACCTTTTATGCTTGTTCTTATCAAGTTCCAATCCGTGCCCTTCATATTTGGAATTCGTGGACGACTTTTTAAAAATATGTAATCTCTGTTTGTTGGATTAAACCAGATGTTTTAAACAGGAAGTTTTTTCAAACAATGTGTATCTTCATTTAGAAATAAAAAAAGCAAAGGAGAAACCAAACGGCGGAAGCGACGTGTACACGTACAGGTACATTGCAAGATGACATACTATAGGTGCAGGAATGGGAGCGGTAGAGAGTAGAGGTTCTACTACACCAAATCAGAACCAGTTTGGACAGTGCGGTTTTCGTAGGGAGCCTTCAGTGCAGATCGAGAGATATCTGCAGGCTGTGATTGGAGAATATTATGTCTTTCAAATGTACATCCATCCAGTTATTAAAACTGACCATGTTTTCCTATATTTAGTAATGTCTTTTTCAACATGATGACTTATGCTGAATGTGACCACAGCTATTTTCAAGAAGGTGACATTTGGTGCGAAACTGGGGGTGGTGTGTTTAGCTTCCTGTACTCGGAAAAGGAGCTGGCTAAGCTAGTCATTTTTTATTTTTTTATTTCTGCTCTAAGGCCAAACTGTGCACACACGTACAGGTAATAGCTGTTGAATGCTTAGTTATTTAAAAAAAAATATATAACGTTACTATAGAGGCCTATGGGAAAACATTTGGTTGTGAGTAACCTTTAGGCACCATACTTGTCCCATTCTTGTCGCACCCTCTCCAGGCGTACATCGAGCACCTGCTAAAGCACTTCATCTTCATGATGGTGGCCTGAAATCAATTAACTCTAAATTAGATTCCAGTAATCGACATTATGATGATAAAGGCTACAAAACCCTTTTAATATTTGTCGAGTGTACGATTCCGACACTATAATGGGCACGTGTTTATTAATCACTATCAAATAGGGATGATAACAGACGTTCGCGAAAAGGTGAGAGCATCCTGCTCCACCCTGTGGCACCCGTCTCAAACACGTGCATAAGCAAGTCAATTATTCAGCCGAAAAAAAAACACACAGAAAGATATGGTACAAGTCGATATTGAAAATTGCATCGGACAATTAGTTTGCACATGATGCGTTATATTTGGAAATGTCCTCCACATGTCAATAATAAAACTTTTTGACTCCAAGTCACTACCTAATGCTGCGTACGGGAAGCAAATGCTGCTGAGGACACATTTAATACGTAAATACCATACTGACAGATATTAGTAAAATTATTTTATGACAACACAAAATTCGGAATATACATTTTATTTATTAACAATATTTTTCCACACAATCACGGAATGTCCTTGCATGTGAATGTTCAGGATAATAACAAAATATTATTATTGTTTGAGTAATATAAATCAAATTAGTCAAGTGTCCTCACGACCTACAATTATTGGTTATATTTTGGACTATTCTTAGATCTATTCAGTTTCAACAAGAGGCTGATTCACACTTCATTAGCTGACGTTTACAAGCTAAAAACCACTCAAATTGCTGCGTTTGGGCTATGCAGTTTGTGTAAGATGACTTTATGAAGCAAACCTCCCCAAGACTATAACAACTGTGCCATGGAAATATCAACTGATCACTGGTGACACGTCACGAACTGGAAGACGCCACCAGTGAGGAAATGAGGCCCGCACCTGTAACCAAAGTGATAGATTCCTCACCGTAACGTCAGATGCAGCTTCAGCGTTCTCCGTGCCATCAGTCGTCACACAGTGCATCGCCGACTACGGCAGCATGGTCTCAGGGCATATCCATAATTCAGAGGAATGACGTTCACGTGACATCGACCTTAATGTTCACGTTGTGATGTCAAATGTAACGCCAGCATTATCTCATCTCAGAGCCGATGTCACAACACGGATCTACTGACGTAGCCAGAGAATCCGACGTCGTGCCAATTCGACAATGAGCAGACATCACGTTGCACAAGCAATCAGAGAGGAATGCAAGGCAATTCCCGATGACGTCATTAGACGCTTCACGAACTCTGCATGTTTGCACGTAGAGGAAATACTCGCCACTTTATCACTGGCATTCATTTAGTGACCGTTATGATGATGTCTGTTCACACCTCATCTCGAACATTGTTCTGTGAGTGCGCACATGTTACCGCTAGTGCTGTTTGCGAACGGTGATGGTGGCATGTGATGGTTATTACGGTGTATAGCAAATCAATCAATCATCATTTATTTCTCTCAAAGAAACACCCACAGTGGTACAGGAGAAAAAGGTTCTTAACATGATGATGATTAATATAAAACGAGATGTTATACTGTACAAATATTTGGCGACAAACATTTTGCTTGAAGATTTGTACGAACATTTAAACAAAAACACTTACATAAACAAACACACATATACACAGTTACATTAAAAGGAACTTATCTATTATACATATGAATTTTGCAAGGTTCTTGATTTCTTTTACTTTTCTGGTACTAAACGATGTTTTGTATTTTTTTATTGCATATATTTATTCGAGATAAGTTTAGATCTAGATTCACGGAACGCTTCACGTTTAAACAGGTAAAGGAATTCATCGGCTATAGCTGGCGACATACACAGTTTACATGTCCTAAATTCTCTATCTATACCAAGGCAACGGCCAACTTCGACAGGTAGATAATGTTTACAGGTTCTATGTTTTAGAATAGGATAATAAATTTGTTTTGATAGGAGAAGAACGTTTTCAAGTGATAATTATTTCCAAATACAACGTTTGCATTAACTGGGTTTGTTTTGGTCGTTTATACCATTTTGAAAAACTGATCGGTACACTTTTGATCTTTTGATACTGATTTTGAAGGTGAACTAATGGAACTGTTTGTTCCCAGTAACAGTCAATATATACTAAGTCAAACAAGTATGGGAACATCCAATATTTCCATCATATTTCAATGACTACAAAGACAACAAGAACACATTGGGCAATTTCAGATACGGTGGCATTTAATGGATGAATCTTTCGGACCAGACATAATTAAGTCAACTTCAGTCAGGAATGTGATTTATTAGGAAACGTCTCAAATTTATACAGTATATATTGTCACCTTTTTCATTAATACTCACCATTTTAACTGTGCTTCTGTCATGTACCATGGAACAGAATAAAAACAGAAGAGAATGTTTGGAGACAAAAATGCCAGGTGTGGAGGGCGGAGACGGGCGCTAGACCGAGCACAGGGAGATAACTCCCAGCAGCATCAGCGAAAACCATGTGCTCTCTACTGTACAGCAGACGAGCTACATGCATTTGTGTCCACCCACGGAAGCATGAGGGCTGGAACAGTATTTATTGACAGAAGACGCTAATCAGTGATAGCAATAACAACATTAAATACTCTTTTAGCTTCAATGTACATGAAGGTGCGACAAGAGCTAGGGAAGGGAGGGTTGGTAACTTCACCATATATAACTCCGTAGATGTGATAGCGGTGTCTTCGTCTGCTCATGCTAAAAATAAAATAGGCCAAGTTCAAAGGTTACGATCTCGTAAAACGAGAGCGAGACCTAATTACCCATAAGCCCTTCTTTATCATGGCCTCATGGTAATCACACGTAGGTATCTCGCCATGTATGTTGTGAGTATATATCGAACCCTCACAAAAAGAGGTCGATATTCCAACGTTCATGTCAATAAACTTGATAAACCCCGCTCTAAAAACGGTTATGATACTGAAGCCCGCTTCAGCTAAACTAGTAGATGTCCCATTTCCGATCACACAGGCGGAATCAGATTTTTGGTCCTTGTCAACAAGCCATCTGGCTAATCATCTAAATACTCAGTTCTCTACTTTCAAAAAAGATAATGTGTTGAATGAAAACATTCTTGATGATCATCCCATACCTGATGAGCAATGATTGACTGCTCCCCAACAAGATGGGTATTTAGATGATCTTTTAGAAGCACGGGATGGGTCATTTTAGGAAAAAAAGATTCCTCATTGCAGTTTATTCAAAAGAGAATGTTAAATATCATGGGTCCTTTGTCCTTTGTTGAAATCTTGACAAAATCAGACGCAGGGAGGCTTCACCTGATTAAGACATATGTGAACTTCTTCACAGAGAAGGCAGTCTGCCTTGGGAACAAGCCAACTTGTCCATTTCAATTGTCCAATTTTATCCAAACTGGTTAAGGATCCAAAGAAAGCAAAAATGTTGATTTACAAATACGAGGACACCATTGCCGATGCTAAAGTGAAGCTCTTCGAAGACCCCTTTTACAATACAATACGGTCCTCGCTGATCTGAAGCTTTTGCAAAATGCTAGGGATATTCTTGGTGGACCGCATTCGGCTCCAAAGAATAAGATTAATTTCTTCAACAACCAGCCTTTCTCGCAGCAGCCCTTTCATGGTAAGCCTGGTCCTCCTGGGGGAGGGGGAGGAGCGGATTCACAGTCCAGGCATCCTTTAATCCCAGGAAAAGAGGGAACGACCGTGGTGGCAAAAGAGGAAGATCTTCAGGACAATATAGGTTTGTACCACTCTCTTTCAACAAATACCGATGTCATGGAGCTCGGCATACGTTCAAGTCCCATGAATCTGAATGCCCCAAATCCCGATCATCCAGACAGTATGATACCAGAAATCGAAGATCTAAAATTAGAAAACATTCCTTTCGAAGGGTGACACATTTCTACACAAATTGGTCAAGGATTACTCTAGACCCATGGATTCTTCAGACCGTTCATGGCTTTAAAATTGAATTCATTCAAAAGCCTATCCAAAGAAAACCAACTCCACCGTTAACACTTTCTCAGGTTAAGCAGGTTGTACTGGACAAGGAGCTATTGGGAACATAATGATGAAAGGGGCGATAGAAGAGATTCCTCAGCATGTGAATCTGAATATCAATCTTAGTTTTTAAGTCCTATGTTCGTGGTACCCAAAAAGGACGGGTGTCTGAGACCAATACTCAATGTGAAAAAACTAAATGCTTTCATTCTATACAATCATTTCAAGATGGAAAGCCTTTCAGTCCTGAAGG